GCATCCACCGTGATGACGCTGCCTAGCCTTACACGGTTGCCCCGCCCTTTGGTTGATATGGTTTGCGCATGCGTCCAACCTGGCGTCTGATGTTATGATGCACAACCTCCTCCCCATTGGTCTTTTAGGTTTAAGGTACATTCTCTACAAATTTCTGAGTATTTTCAAATTTGTCACATCTCCAACTTTTTCACCCCCGGTTAGAGTCATTGAGGTCTGCAGCACAGAGAAAAGGTCCTTTGGCACATCTAGTCTCAGCTGGGTAAAACGATTGTAATCTCATTTTCCAGCACGTTGGCCCACAGCATTGTGAGGTTTGGTATTGCAAGTTCACATCTAAATACTTCTTAAGTCTTATAAGCGTTTCTACCTCTACCACCCTTACAGGCAGCAAGTTCCAAATTCTCAGTAGCCTCTGGGCAAAAAAAGTTTCCTCACATCTCCTCTAAACCTGCAGTCACGCACCATAATCCTATATCCTCCAATTATTGATTTCTGCAACAAGGGGAAAAGCTACTTCCTGTCTATCTAGGGATAGTAGGAACTGCAGATGCTGGAGAATCTGAGATAACAAGGTGTAGAGCTGGATGAACACAGCAGGCCAAGCAGCATCATAGGAGCAGGAAGGCTGACGTTTCGGGCCTAGACCCTTCATCATTTCTTCATCGTTTGTTATTCCTGTCTATCTATGCCTCTTATACTTTTATATACCTCAATCATGTTCCCCTTCTGTCTCCTCTACTCCAAGGCAAACAACTCCAGTCTATCCAATCCAAGAGCATCCACCTGAAACTTCATCTCTGCATGAGCTGTATCTTGGCAGAAGTCTGCATGTGTTTCCTTTAAGATATTTTACTACATTAATATTAATGCAAAAAACAAGCTCACCGATAGCATTAACCAATCCCATGGCATAATTTGTTCCATCAAGCTTTTTTGAAATTGTGTCTTTGTTCAAACCAAAATGTATTCTTGAACTTAATTTTTGTACCAATCTCTTCAAGGAATCGTTTAGCCGCTCAGGTTTTTTGTTCAACATCAGTGTTGTCTGTTCTACTGAGGGTTTCCAGCAATTTCAAAATTGTCAGTGAGGTGCACATGTTTCTTTGCTCACTCTTCACCACATCATAATGAGAAATAGTAAGAACTGTCAATGCTGGAGTCAGAGATAACAGAGTGTGGAGCTGGAGGAGCACAGCAGGCCAGGCAGCATCAGAGGAGCAGGAAAGTTACGTTTCGGTTTGGGACGCTTCTTCAAAAAATTCCGAAGAAGGGTCCTGCTCAAAACGTCAACTTTCCTGCTCTTCTGATGCTGTCTGGCCTGCTGTGCTCCTTCAGCTCCATACTGTGTTATCACCACATCATAATTATGTTTTACATAGAGTTAGGTCATAGGTCACTGAGGATTTCAAATACTGATAGAACATGCTGAGGGAGCCAAAGTGACTACTAAATTTCGTCCTCCTTTGAGCCTTTATTCTTCAATTCAAGCCTAAATCTCTTTTTAATCTCAAAGAGAACAAAGAATAGTAAAGCACAGGAACTGACCCTTTGGCCCACCAAGACTGTCAACACATGATGGCCTTTCAAACTAAAAACATTTTGCCTCTATGTGGCCTATATCCCTCTATTCCCTGCCTCTTCACATGACTGCCAAGCTGTTTCTTCAATTTTGCAATTGTACCTGTCTCCACCATCTCCTCTGGTAACTTCATTTCTGGCACTTACCATGCTCTATGCAAAATACCTGCCTCTCCTATCTCCTTTAAACTTACCTCTCTTACCTGAAACCTATGTCCCCTAGTAATTGACATTTCTATCCTGGGAAAAATACTCTGACTATCCGTTTTATCCATGCTTCTCATAACTTTGTAAACTTCTATCAAGTTGCCCCTCATCCTTTGACATTCGTGTGAAAATGAACTAAGTTTGTCCAATGACTGTTCATCGCTAATACCCTCCAAACCAGGTAACATCCTGGCAAACTATTTCTGCATCCTCTCCAAAGCTTCCACATCCTTCTGGTAGTGTGGTGATCAGAACTGTACTCAATATTCAAAATGTAGCCTCACTAAAATTCTATACAGCTGCAACATAACTTGCCAATTTTATAGCCTATGGCCTGACTGATGAAGGCAAGCGTGTCATATGCCTTCTTGACCACCGTATCCTTTTGTGATCCCACTTTCAGCTGTGAACCTGTACATTTCAATCCTTTGGGATATGCATACACTGTATGTTGATACTATTAAGAGTTCTTTCATTTACTGTAGACTTCCATACTGCTTTGGATCTTCTAAAATGCATCACCTTGCATTTATCTAGATTAAACTTCATCTGCCATTTCTCCACCCAAGCGTCCATCCATTCCATATCTTCATATATCCCCTGGTAATCCTCTTCACTAGTCAGACCTTCCCCAATCTTGTGTCATCTGCAACCTTACTAATCTGGCCACCTACATTCTCCTCAAAATCATTCACATTTATTACAAACAATAGGGGTCCCAGCACTGACCTCTGTGGACCACCACTGGTCACAGAACTCCAGTCAGAAAAACACCCTTCCACTGCTCCAGTCTGTCTTATATGACTAAACCAGCTCTGTGTCCATCTTACCAGCTCACCTAACCCTAACCTTATCACACATCCCATGTGACTTCACCATTTGTATCAGCTTGCCATGAGGGCCCTTGCCTTCTAAAGTCCATACAGACAACATCTACCACCCTGCTCTCATCAATCATCTTTGTCACTTCCTCAAAAAACTCAACCTTCCCTGCACAAAGTCATGCTGCCTATTGTTATTAAGTCCACATTTTCTAAATGTGAGGAAATTCTATCCCTAAGATCTTCTCCAATAATTTCCCTACCACTGATATAAAGGTCACCAGCCTGTAACTTCTCAAATTATTCCTTTTGCTCTTCTTAAATTATGGAACAACTTTGGTTATTATCTCAAGTCCTCTGTGATCTCTCCTGCATTAATCATTTCAAGTTTTCTACCTGGTACAGGTACAGTTCAAAAGTCTATCAATTTTCTATATGTTAAAGTTAGATTTGAATTTAAGCAGCATTTGATCACCAAGTTATGTTGTTCCAAAGCACTTTAATTCTGACGGGTTGCTGTTGAAGCATGCCATCTACTTTTAAGTGGCAAAGAAGGCAGCTAATATTGCATAGAAAGATCCCACAAAAAATGAAGTTGTTCATAATTTATTTTTCATAATATTGATGGTGGAATAATATGGTCAGGACACCGGGAGAGAATTCTCCTGTTTTTCTTCAAATAATATGCTATATTTCATATCCATTTAAAGAGACAGCATGCTTTTGTTTTAACATCTCATCTCTTGAGTGATACTGCCACAATGCAACAAAACGTCAGTACTGCAATTAAGTAATGGGACTTGAACATTTTGACCTGGACTTTAAAGTATCTTCTCGGAATCAGGCTGGCATTAAGATCCCAATTGCTTACTCCGTACGTTAAGTGTTGAAATACTTTGTATCAATTTCATTATTATCTGTTTTTTGATCAGAAATGCCTGACAAACATGGAGCTTACTTGCCAGGTTATCATGTAATGAGTTTAATCAAAGAGATTTGCCTTATTTTCATCTCTATCTCACTGATCAATAGCCTCAGACTTCCTGGCAACTATTCTGCTACTTGGCCTCACATTTACCACGTATCATTGCCAAAGACTTGAGACCTGTTTACCAATCCATCACAGTTTTCATGTAGTCTCCATAAATCAAGGTTCATTTTTTGTGTACGGCTATACATGAGCTGCAGGAAAGTCATAAAAAATGTTCTTTCATTTTAATGGAATAATTAATTTTATTAGATATAAAAGTATTGGTGACTGGGGTAGGGAAGGCTGTTGACAGAGTAGACTAATTGAAGCTGGGAGTTATGTGAAGAAATGTCCAAGAATTTTCATCTACAGTTAACAACACCAAGCAAAGGAAAAACAACCATAACCCAGATGAGGTTTTCAAACCTTAAAGAATAAAGCGATCACGAACCAAAGGAAACAGTTGATGCAGTACATAACAAGGTGTAGAGCTGGATGAACACAGCAGGCCAAGCAGCATCAGAGGAGCAGGAAAGCTCACGTTTCGGGCCTAGACCCTTCTTCAGAAAGTATATTTTCAGTCATTGCAATCTTAAAATAAGACAAGTTTAAAAGGAGAAAGATATTTGATTACGGAGAAGAGTGTTCCTTAATTGGGAAGCAGGAAATGGAAAATGTAGATGGGACCTAGGTGTCATCATCAATAAGTCATTGAAGACTTACATGAGGGCGCAGAAGCAATTGGGAAGGCTAATGGTTCGCTTCTCCTTATTGCAAGAGGATTTGAGTACGAGGTAGTGAAATCTTGCATAAGTTGTGTAGAATTTTGGTTTGACTATACCTGGAGTACTTTGTGTAGTTTTTGTCCCCTTATAGTATAAAGGATATTATTGCCATAGTGTGCAACAAATATTCACCAGACTTATTTGCAGGATGTCAGGACTGTCAAATGAAGAAAGATTGGAAAAACTGGGCATATATTCACCAGAGTTTCAATGAATGAAAGGTGATCAAACCCTACAAAATCTTAAAAGTGATAGACAGGTTAGATGCAAGTAAGCTACTGTCCCTGGGAAAGTCAGTTTTGAATGAGATGTCTTTTTTTTATGTAGGTGGCTGTGAATCTCTGGAATTCTCTATCCCAGAAGACTGTATCAGCTTAGTTATGGTGTATATTCAAAGACTGACAGGTTTCTAAATACCAGTGTGGGGAGTGAATGATATTCATAATTCAGGCTCAATGGGCTGAATGGCTGACGCCTGCTTCCCTGTTCCTATGAGAAGCATCGTCCATTATCTTACGACGAGGAATAGGGCCTGCTAAACTTATCTCGTTGTCCAAATATATTGCAACAGACGAGTTATTAACACAGTACCAATAGCATGTGCCCCAAGTTTCATTTACTTTACGAAGATGGCGACGAGAGGCCACATTATCGGCGCACAGAGATGATGCTCAGGGTGTCGCGCGGTGATGACGCAGATTGAAGATGGCGGCTCGCGTCGGGAGGCCTGAGCACCGGGCTCCGCCTGAAGTGGTAATGGAGAGGCTTCGTTGTGGGAACGGGGCAGGGCCGGGAGAAGAGGTCTGATAGACCCAGGAGCGGGGCAGGCCCGGGAGTAGAGGCGCGACAGACGCAGGAGCGGGGGAATCCAGGGCAGGGAGTAAAGACGATAGGCCCCCGGGGCCGCATTTCAGGCAGGGCCAATGTGAGGGGATCCTACCAACCCCTGCAATCCATAATCTCCCCTTCACATTCCCCCTCTTCTCCCCCTCCACCCCCGGGGTCAAAGAACAGAACAGAACAGCACAGGCCTTTTGGCCCTCTAAGCTTGTGCTGACACAATTTGCCCTTCCATACTAAAACTGCTTTCACTTACAGGATCCGTATCCCTCTATTCCCTTCCTATTCATGTGTTCGACCAGGTGCTTCTTGAATGCTGCTACTGTGTCTGCATCCACCACCACCTCCTCTGACAACATGTTCCCAGCACCACCACCCTTTTTGTGAAAAACTTGCCTTACTCATCTCTTTTAAACTCACCCCCAACCCTGCACCATGAACCTGTGTACCCCCCAGTAATTGACCTCTCCATTCTGGGAAAAAGCCCCACACTTTCTACTCAATCCATGATGTTCACAATCTTATAAACTTCTATCAGGTTGCCCCTCAACTTCCTGTGTTCCAGTGAAAACAAACCTAGTCTATCCAACCTTTCTTCGTAGCTAAAATCCCCCATACCAGGCAACATCCTGGTAAACCTTTTCTGAACCCTCTCCAAAGTATCCACGTCCTTCTGGTAGTGTGGTGACCAGAATCGTGTGCAATATTCCAAGTGTGGCCTAACTAAAGTTGTATAAAGCTGCAGCATAACTTGCCTATTCTTATGCTCAATGCCCCTTCCAATGAAGGCAAGCATGCCAGATGCTGTTTTTACTACTTTATCTACCTGTCCTGCCACCTTCAGTGATCTGTAGACCTGCACACCCAGATCCTCTGCATATCAATACTCCTAAGGGTTCTACCATTCACTGTATAATTTCCAGCTGTAATTGACCTTCCAAAATGCATCACCTCATATTTGTTGGGATTAAACTCCATCTGCCATTTTTCTGCCCATGCCTCCAACTGATCTATATCCTGCTGTATCCTCTGATAATCCTCCTCATTATCCACAGCTCCACCAGTCTTTGTATCGTACACAAACTTAGTAATTAGATGAGCTACATTTTCCTCCAAATCATTTATGTAGATCACGAACAGCAGAGGTCCCAACGCTGACCCCTGTGGAACACCACGAGTGACAACACTCCATTCTCAAAAGCATCCTTTAGTCTCCCCTTTACCCCCCCAGAGTCAGTCTCCCCATACCGCCCCGTAATACCTGTCATTTATATAAAAGGCTCACTGAGGTGACTTTTGATGCCGTTACCGTCTTGTATGCAAAGAATACTTTGTTTTCATTAACTGACCTTGAGCTAATGCTGCTCTGCACAGAATAACATTGTGTGTAGCATGCACAATACAGTAAGCTATTTGTGCTGTGCTGTTTCTCTACTGGGAGCCCTGTGACAGCAACATTGTTGTTTGCTTTGTGTGCAGATCTGGGAAAAATGACTCAAATGAGTTTTAGGTGCTGTATGATATAGGCTTAAACTATATGAAATTATTGAAATATTTTATTGTCAGTTTTACAGTGAAAATGAAGCAAGGAAATACACACAAAAGTAAGTATTCACAGTTTGATGCCTGGTGTTAATATTCTCTAGTTCAGTTGGATGACGTTGCGTGATGACTTATGTGCTCTTGGTTACTGTAAAATTATTCCAAAGGACTACTATGATTTACTGAGGAACAGTAGACCATTTGAGCCTGCTCCACCATTTAATGTGGTCATGGCTGCTTATCCAACACTAGTTTTTTTTACTGACTTTTCCCTCCATCCACTAATCCCTTTAGCCCCCCAAGTACTATATCCACCACCTCCTTGAAATCATACATACTTTTGGCCTCGATTGCTTTCTGTGTAGTGAATTCCAAAGGCTCACCACTCTCTGGGTGAAGAAATTTCTTCTCATCTCGGTTCTAAATGGTTTACTCTGTATCCTTAGACTGTAACGGCTGGTTCTGGGCTCCCTGGTCATCGGGAACATTCTTTCTGCGTATACCCTCTTGAATCCTATTGGAATTTTATAGGTTTCCATGAGAATAACCCTCCCCAATTCTTCTGAACTCCAAATATAATCTGAACTAATTCAACCTCTCCTCATATATCAGTCCCGCCATCTCAGGAATCAGTCTGGTAAATCTTTTCTGCACTCCTATAGCAAGAACATACTTCCTGAATTGAAGACAAAACTGCCCACAGTATTTCAGGCGTGGTCTCACCAATGTCCTATTTAATTGCAACAAGATATCCCTGCTCCTGTACTCGAATCCTCTTGCTATGAAGGCCAATGTACTTTACTGCCTTCTTTACTGCCTGTTACTGCATGCTTGTTTTCAGCGGCTGGTGTACAAGGACACCCAGCCCTTGTTGCATGTTCCCCTTTCTCAATTTATTTCCGTTCAGAGGATAACCTGCCTTCCTGTTTCTTGCTACCAAAGTGGATAATCTCACATTTATCCACATTATACCGCATCTACCATGCTTTTGCCTACTCTCACAACTTGTTCAAATCACATTGAAACATCTCTGCATCCTCCTTACAACTCACTCTCCTACCTAGCTTTGTGCCATCTGCAAATGTAGAGTTATTACATTTACTTCCTTCATCAAGATCATTAATATATTATGAATACTTGTCATCCTAGCATTACTCCGCGCAGGACTGAAATTCTGCCTTTCTGAAAAAGACCGTTTATTTCCACTGTTTTCTATCCATCTCAATACGCTATCCCCAATCCCATCCATTTTAGCTTTAAATGCTAATCTCTTAATTTTCGAAAGCCTTCTGAAAGTCCAAATAAACCACATTCACTGGCTCCCCATCATTAACTCTGTTGGCTACATCCTCAAATTCCAGTAGATTTGTTAATCATAAACCCATGCTGACTCTGTCCAATCCTACCACTGTTTTTCAAGTACTGTGCTATTAAATCCTTCATGAAGGACCCAAGCATTTTCCCCCTACTGACATCAAACTGACTGGTTTATAATTCCCCGTTTTCTCTCTGTCTCCCCTTTTTAAATGGAGGGTTTACATTAGCTTCCCTTCAATCTGTAGGAATTCTTCCAGAGTCTGTTTCTAGGGCTACTTCCTTCAGTACTTGGGATGTGGATGATCAGGCCCTGGGTATTTGTCAGCCTTCATTCCCATCAATTTCCGCAACATTATTTCTAATGCTGATTTCTTTCAGTCCCTCCCTCTCACTAAAGTCTGTGTCCCCCAAATGTTTCTGGTGTGTTATTTGTGATGTGTGTTGCAGGGATATGGTTAAGTTAACATGTTACTGAGAGTTAAACAGTTTAAGTAAATTCATCTGTTTGATCCTTAGTCTGCAACTATGAATTGAGACAGCTGATTGCGGTGATTGATACTGGGTTCTCTACGCTCCCTGGTAGGAGAGATGGGGAGAGAATGAGCTGGGTTCCTGCTTTCAGCTGGAAAACGTGGATGTGGGATGAATGTTTTGCTGCCAGTTCTGTTTGACTGCAACATTCCTCCTTTCCAAGGCTAGGCACCTGATTGCTGTCCTTGAGTCAAAGTGGAAGGGTACTAGAACCTCCACTCTCTGTAAGAATGACCTCAACCTTTCAGTTGCTTGCCGTTTGAATAAACCATCTTGTTTCAATGCTAACATTTCAGTCTTCGGCCTGCTGCAGTGTTCCAATGAAGCTCCATGCAAGCTGGAAGAATAACACCTCATTTTCCACTTTGACATTTTACACCCTGGAGGATTCCGTACTGAATTCCACAGCTTCCAGAGCATCTGCCGTCCGTTTTTCTTACATCTGCCCCACCCTTCACTCGTGTCTTGTTGACTTTACTGTTAGCAGAGATAACCTTTGCCAAAATCATCACTTCCTTTTCTCATTTGCTCTGGACTCCTACCCCTCTGTCAATAGCATAAAAAGCCACCGTTTTCTAACCCCCTTCAGTTCTTCAGACTCGTATTGGATTTGAAACGTAATCTGTAGTTCTGTCTGTATAAATGCTGCCAGACCTGCTGAGTTCCTCCAGCATTTTCTGTTTGTATTTCATATTTCCTACATCTGTGGTATTTAGCTTTTAATTAGGTCGTGGTACCTACCAGAGTTGTTATTTTCGGGGAAGAGGGTGGGAAGCTTTGCTACCTTGTTTCGTAGATGAGAGTTGTGAAGGTGAACTCTGTCTTGCTTTTGGTAGCCCATTGGATATGGTATTTGACTGGCCACTTAGACCCCGCACAGACTCTGGGAATAAAAATAAAATTGCTCACAGGTCAGACAGCATCTGTGGAGAGAGAAACTCTGTTTCAAACAGAGGCGGCATTTCACTGTTCTGATGGAAGGGCCATCTCGACCTGACACACTAACTCAGTTTCTCTCTGCACAGAATCTGCCAGACTTGCTGACTGTTTCCAGCAGCTTTTGTGTACGTTAGTTCGAGCTGATGCCTTGTCATGCCATCTGGTATCATGTAGACTGGTGCCTGAACACTGTCAGGATTATTGTAAAAACCTAACTGATTCACTAACGTACTTGAGGGGAGGAAGGCACATCTCAAACTTCATGTAACTGCAGTCTCTCAGTACTCATGACAATTAGACATAAATAGTAAAAGCTGCTTTGTGGGTGTCATTCACAGCTCAAGGACAGACTGGGAAAAACCGCTGTTATCAACAGATGGGAACGAGCTAGTTACCTGAATAAAATGTGATTCTTCCCTTCACAGCTCGCGTATGATTGAAATCCAGACGCAGATGTCCGAAAGAGCTGTTGAGCTACTCAATTTACCTGAAGATCAACCATGCTTCCTATTAGATGTTGGGTAGGGTACTCCTTTAAATTTTTACAGTCCTGCAGGGGATCTTCAGAGAAAACCATCCCTGCGGTGAAGCTGTTGTTATGTATCTATCTATCTTTTTGTTCTCTCTGTCCTCCGGCATGGACTGTATATCTGCTCTGGGGCCTCTTACTGGTGTTGTTCTTCATAGAACTCATGATGTGAGACAGCTGGGCCATTTGACTTACTATGTTTTATATTTTACCACCTTTTATATTATCCATCAAACCACAAGAATAGATCTTTTGTGCAGGCAGAAGAAAGTGGGAGTTATCATATTTAAGGCGGCAGTTATAGCATGTTTCTTTGTGGAGGGCAGGTGGAATTTAAAATATTTAAATAGAATTGGGAGGTATTGTGGATCAGATACTGGCCTTTCGTCTCTGAAGCAGCATTTAGCACTGCTGCCTCACAGCGCCAGGAACCTGGGTTTGATTCCAACCTCAGGCGACTGTCTGTGTGGAGTTTGCACATTCTCCCCGTGTCCGCATGGGTTTCCTCCGGGCACTCTGGTTTTGTCCCAGAATCCAAAGAAGTGCAGGTCAGATGGATTGGCCATGCTAAATTGCCCATAGTGATATGCAGCCTAGGTGGATTACCAATGGGAAACGCAGGGTTACAGGGATAGGATAGGGAGGTGGGTCTGGGTGGGATGCTGTTTGAAAGGGTAGTGTGGACTCAATGAGCTGAATGGCCTGTTTCCACATGGTAGGGATTCTATGATTTAGTGATGGAATGGCAGTCCCTGGCTTTAAGGATCCCGTGCGATGAGTGCTTGTATGGTCTCAATACATTTGTTAATAGGAATCAGACAAAGTTGTAGAATTATCTGGATTTCAGCATGGTTCAGCTGAAACCATGACAGAGAAATAAGAAACAAAAAGTACAACAGAATATGTCTTGAATTGAGATTGGAGCATGCTGTTGCGGCTGCCATGATGATAGCTTTATCGTTTGTTTGGAGACTGGCCTACCTGAGTCTGAGTGTGTTTGCTAACACCACTTTCCTGAAATGTGAAGTTTTTTGTTCTGCAGTACTGCTGGTGAGATGGTCCCTCACCTTGTTAATCAAGCAAAAAATCTTTACCCAACACCTTCCAAAACTGCATCCATATTTAAAATCAGTCATTGGAAGAGAATGGGATCGAATTGTGTTTTAGTACAATATTGCAAGTCTTAATTTTTTGCCACAATTTTTGAATGATTAGTTCACACAAACACATACGTTACAAATCTGATTGTTCTTGGAAACAGACAATTGGCACACTAGTTCAGTACATTACCGTGTAAAGGTATGTATTTGGGCTTGTTATTTCTTGGTAGTATTGACAGAACTTTGTTTTTGTATGTATTCCAGGTGTGGGTCAGGACTCAGCGGCGATTACCTCTCTGAAGAAGGACATCACTGGGTTGGTGTGGACATCAGTCCAGCCATGCTTGGTGGGTGACAGGGCAGTACCCCATGGTCCTGTTGTCATTGGAATCAACAATGTGGCGTTATAAAGCCCACTGTCTTTGGACTGTAGAATCAGCATCTGGAGTTTGAGTTGATTCATCTGTCTCGGGGATGAGGGAATCTTAGTGCTTGCTTAAAACATGACAGCAGTTTTTCAACCAGGCCCAAATTCATGATTCTGCAGCCCGAGCAGCTGAGAAAGTTCAGCTGGGCTACTGAGGAATAAGAAGAGAGATTAAAAGAAGTTTCCAGCCCACTCCAAATTGGTTGTTTCACTAGCTGGATCCTCACGGTATTGCTCATGGCGAATCAGAGTTTTTTTTTTAAATTCATTCAGAGGATTTGGGCGTGTTGGCAAGACCATCATATCACATACTGGTACCCCTTCCATCACCCAGGGTCACCCCTTCCTTCCATCACCCAGTGTTCCCCATCCCTAGTTGCCCAGTTTGGGCTCGTTTCAAATCTGAGGGGATTATTACAAACGTGTCACAAAGTGCAAGTGATAAAAAATGTGATAATGATATCCGCATAGATTGGCGAAACAAATATAGTTTGAAACAAATACATTATTGGAAAAGTGTTTAAAGGCCATGGGGATTGAGCAGGCATGTGGGTTCAGATTGGATATTATCGAAGAGTGAACGGACTTGTTCAGTGCAAGTAGCTGAGATGTGAGATACTGTGGGAAGCAGGTTAGACTTGTGGAGAAAAATGTACACAAATTTGATTTCTATGATCCTTGGAGAAAGCATCCCTGAGTCTTTTTCCTTTTCTTGACAGATGTTGCATTGGAAAGAGAGGTAGAAGGTGATCTCATTCTGGGTGATGTGGGTGCTGGCATTCCATTCCGGCCTGGCACGTTTGATGGTTGCATCAGGTAAAAGAGAAACTGAGTGGGAGCTGGCATTGATACCTGTGGCAACAGTAATTGTCATGTTTTCTATTATCATTGCCCCCAAGTGTAGAGAAAGAGATTGCTGTAAAGAGTCCATATGCTGGTCCTGAAGTTGATATTTAAAATAGTCACGTGTCCCCAAGGAGCTTCACAAAAGTGTTGTCAGATCAAATATGTCACTGAACTTCACCCCTGTAAAGAGACATTAATACAGATACTCAAAAACTTGATTGAAGTGATAGTTTTCAAAGAGTGATTAAATGAGGAGAGAGGAGAGTTGCAGAGAGGTATATGGAGGAATTCCAAACCTTAGGGACAAGTAACTGAGGTGTGGTATTCATGGTGGAGCAGATAAAATTAAGGATGTGCAAAAGGTAATACTCTTCCATTGCTCACTTTTGGTTTCAAACCAGTCAGACAGAATATATTACGGGAAATAAAGTGTGTACAAAATTATATATTGACTGACTGACTTGGAAAATGTTTTGGGGCATTGGCAAAGGTTGCTTGGAAAAGCAACATCAGATTTTATGCACTTCCTCCCTTTCTGGCCAGCTCATTTGACATGTTCACCCCACTCCGCTTAAAGCTGCATCTAAACTGAACTTTAACTTCTTGCGTCATTACCTTCTAGAGTTTGTGGCAAATGAATGTTTGAACTGTGTCTCCATCCAACCACGTTTCAGATGAAACAATCTCAGCTGTTTAAACTGGCTATGAGTTTGATAATCACTCCCTAGTTTTGGTTATCAACTAGACAACTTGTTTGAACAAAGCTGTTGATTGTGTCCTGAGGCAGTGTTTCTAAAATTAATCCTTATAATTTTGTTAGACCTTCCTTTAATCTACCTCATCGTACTCACCCACCCCACCTCAAGTATCGGAATGTTGAAATTCTTCCAAAAAGAATAACTAAATGAGGGTGCAAGGTGCAGGGCTGGATGAACACAGCAGGCCAAGCAGCATCAGAG